GGTCAGTTCTGGATGGGGGGGGGGGCTGACGAAATGAAAAAATGTGGACAATCACACTCTTCTTATTATTCATCGTCAGCGACATACCCACCGATGCATCAGTGTACATGCTGCCATTGAATAATATTCAATTAAGGCAATTTGCTGGAGATCAAATCTATACATTGCCAGCCTACCAATGCAAAGGGTCCACTGTACTTACTTTCTAGTAGAGGATGCAGAGCTTGTCTAATAGTGTACTGTATTCTCAAATGAGTTATATTTGCATACATTTCTATGACTCTGTGTATCACTTACTTTCCATTTAACTATACTGGCCACCTACATCATATGCACACTCCCCTAGCTAAACATTTCTGGCCACAGCCCTGGGTCTTATGCTGTTTGGGAATGTATGGTGCCTTTCTCTTTCTTTTTTTTCTCATGCAAATTCGATTTGCAGTTGTTGTTGTTGTTGTTGTTGTTGTGTGCATTCAAGTCATTTCTGACTTATGACAACACTAAGGCGAACCTATCACTTGGCAAGATTTGTTGTGAGGGGATTTGCTATTGCCTCCCTTTGAGGATGAGAGTGTTTGACTTGCCCAAGATCACCTAGTGGGTTTCCATGGCCGAGTGGAGATTCGAACCCTGATCTCCAGAGTCCTAGTCCAGCTCTCAAACCACTACACCACTCTGGCTCTAGCTTAACCACTACAGTGACTTTTACCATCTCACTATGACTTGTTGGGTGAGCCTAGTACAGTGGCAATTATGCTGTGCATTGCTGCAAATGTGTTTCTCTGTGTGTCTGCCTGTTTAGTACACAGATGACACATATGTATAGATTTGGATCAGTATACCTGCCTGCATTTTTTTGGACTGTCTTTGGAGTATGTGGAGAGAGGGAGAGTCAGAGTAAGCACTTGGTCTGCAGAATTTACCACTACGTTAATGTTTTTGGAACTTCATTGATAGAAAGACAAGAATTCACTTTGGGTGGAAAGAAAACCCAAACGTGCCTGTTTCATTCACATCTAGTTTAACCATGAAAGTTCAGGAACAGTACATTTTGTTTCACAGTTTCTGTTGGAATTTAAAAGAAATATTGAAAACCCTATGAAATTTATAGGGTCCCCACAAGTTGACAGGTGACTTGAAGGCACATTCACACTCACATAGGCCTTTCAAGGAAGCAGAAGACACACAGAATATGTTTATTCAGAAATAAAACCTTCTGGTTTCAATGCCACCCACTTCCCCTTTTTGTCTGCTGTTGGTAGTGCAAGAGCTGTCTTTGAATGCTTCTTTAAACCCTTTGTGGGGAGATTTCACTGTGTCACCTAAAGCACTAAAAATGTTGGGGATTTCCAGACATTTAATCCTTTGTTGGATTGATTCCAGTAGTTTTTAAAGGTAAATTTCATGTTGTTTTTTAACATTTATTTACAGTATTTATGCCCTCAGCCAAAAGGTTTCCCTGGATGGCTTACAAATCATTAATTTGACAGCTCCTTGCCCTCAGGCTTATAGACTAAATAAGACATGATTAATATATATGTGAGTAATTAGAAAGGTATACTCCCGATGGGAAGCTTTTAGCCCTCCAACTACAGTTTCCACAAATCTTTACCATTGGCCATGCTGTTTAGTTTTTCTGAGACCTGATGTCAAAAACATGTTTTCCAACATTGACTTAGGGGGGATGCAGACGGCGGCCCTAGGCCGCCCTGAGAAGCGGAGGATTGGGGCCAAGGCTGCCCCATGCCTCAGCCCCAATCCTCCCTCTTGCCGGCCCTGAAATGAGTGGCAAAATGCCGGTCCTTTCAGAGCCGGCAAATAGGGCACCCAAAGAGCCACTGTGCGGCTCTTCTGTTCCCCTTACAGTGCAGCATGTCAAGATGCTGCACCGGGAGGACATCCTGATGGGGGGCGCCATGTGTAACGGCACACGCCATGATAACATTTTCAGGGAAGGGTTGAGGCAGCCACTATGCGGCTGCCTCTCCCCATCCCTGCCTCCAGGATGATCCAAAGGGCCATCAGTAGAGGCCTTTAGATGTATTATCAAAGAGATAGACAACTCGCTTCAGACTGCTTTAGGTCACTTAGATATTATTACCCACCAATGGCACTACCTTTCTGCTGTGGTAGGATTGTGTGCTCCAGTGGGGCAAGAAGCTATGCTGGTGGCAACACTGCTGCCAGTAGGGTCACCCATATCAGACAAGCTTTTGCTGAGGTGCCAGACTAAATGTGCCAAACAGCTATGGGGCAGCAGAAGTGTGTGTGTGGCAGGGTAAAACTGTTGGAGGATCTCTCTGAGACAAAGGCAGTGCCGCCATAGCTAACGTGTATACTGCACAGAGAGAAACATGGTAAACCCCTTTTACCATAAAACCCCTATGATGAGACAATCATAAAAGAAACAAGATGACACTCCCAGGTCAGGTGCCACTGAATGAGCTACTGTGGTACAGCAGAGGATGAGTAGCACTGTGGCTAATGATGCAACTGTACTCAAACCAAAAGGATGTTCAGCTGTTGGCATGCTCAGAGGTGGAAGGAAAGTCCAGAGCTGCATAACACATATTAAAGGAACATGGGATATGAGAAGCATGAATCGGGATGCTTGACATAGTAAAACAATAAGTGGAACATATAAATATTGCAATATCTGGGCTGATCAAGCTACAGTGGACAGGAATGGGACATTTTGAGTCAGATAATGATACAATGTTTTACTCAGTAAATGAAAATCTAAGAAGAAATGGAATGGCATTAATAGCAAATAAAGAAGTAGCAAAAGCAATCAAGAGATATAATGCATAATCTGACCAAATCATAAGAATAAGACTTGAGGCAAAACCCATCAATATAACCATAATCTAAGTCTAACTAAAATCTGTCAACAAATATGGAAAACAAATGTATAGCCCACAGAATAGAAACACTCCATATACATTCTAATCCCCAAGAAAGGAGACACCAGGGATTGCAGTAACCACAGAACCACTGCATTGATTTCCCATACAAGCAAAGTGATGCCAAAAAATCCTACAACAAAGACTTTTACCATATATGGAGTGAGAAATGCCAGATGTCCAAGCTGGATTGTTTTAAATGTTGTAACCCGCCTCGATTGCCATGCAGAGGGGCGGGCTATAAATAAAAATTATTATTGTTGTTGTTGTTGTTGTTGTTGTTGTTATTGATTCAGGAATGTGGGACTAAGGATCATAGTATTGCAAACATACACTGGAATAATGGAGCACACATTAAATCAGCCTGTCCTTTCTAAATTATAGAAAAGCCTTTGATTTTGTAGACCATGAAAAACTTTAGATTGCTCTTAAAGAAGTGGGTGTGCTACAACATTTGATTGTTCTGATGTCTAACCTGTATTTAGGACAAGAGGCTAACTTTAGGATGGAATATGGACAAAAGGAATGATTTCTAATTATTAAGGAAGCAGGCAAGACATGACTGAATAGAAAAGACAATATCATTCTTCCTCTTTATCACTCTTATCTGTTTAACTTGTATGTTGAATATATCATATGTAAAGCAGGATTAGACTTGGAGGAAGGAAGCATGAAAATTGGAGGAAGGAACATTAGCAATTTCAGATATGCAGATGACATCTTACCAGACTTGGAACAATTACTGAAGAGAGAAGAAAGTGGAAAGGCAGGTTTATAGTTGAACATTAAGAAAACAAAAATAATGACCACAGATGATTTACATAACTTTACAGTAGATAATGAAGATGTTGAAATAGTTGAAGATTTTCCATACCTTGGCTCAGTGATTTATCAGAATGGAGACTGCAGTCAAGAAAACAGAAAAAGACTAGCACTTGGAAGAGCAGCTATGAAGTAACTAGACAAGATCCTGAGGTGTAAAGCTATATAACTGAATACTGGTTAGGATTGGCCGTGCTATCACATTTCCAATGTCTGCATGTGGTTGTGAAAGCAGGACAGCGAAGAAAGCTGATGGGAAGAAAATCAACATATTTGAAATGTGGAGATGGAGATGAGTTCTACTGATACTGTGGACTGCTAAAAAGACAAATAAATGGGTCCTAGAACAAATCAAGCCTGAACTATCCCTAGAAGCCAAGATGACTGAACCAAGACTTTTGTACTTTGGACATCTCCATGGAAAGGTATGACTGAATAGAAAAGGCAGTAATATTTGGAAGGCAGAAGGCAGTAGGGAAAGAGGAAGATAACATTACAGGTGGATACAGTTGATCCTAGAAGCCACAGCCCTGAGTATGCAAGGCCTGAGCACAGCTGTTGATGACAGGGTGACTTGGAAGTCTCTCATTCATAGGGTCGCCAGAAGTCAAAGTTGACTTGAAAAAGAAGAAGAAGAAGAAGAAGAAGTTATTACATTGTAACCATATCTGAAAATGGATTCTTTGTATATCAGTTTGTCAAAATGTATCACAGTAGTTGCCAGTCATGAGAGTATTCTAGTAGAGAGCAAGGTAAGTCCTGAGAAATGGTTGACTGCTATGGTAGATCCTCCTTCACTGGAATCAGCTTCAAATGATAGAGGATTTGCAGTAACAGAAAAGGCTGAAGTGTAGAGTATATTGGTGATTATTGTGTTTCTGATACCTGATGGCACCCATCTTTTAGGAAGCAGGTTTATTTCCAGCAAGCTTGACTTTTCTTGTGTGTTGCAATTGAGTGGAATTAGCACATCTAAAGCAAAGTTTTTAAAAGTTAGGCTTCCCAGGATTGTGGGAGTTGTATTCCAAATAAGTAACTTTTCTAATTCTGGTTTAAATGAAAGATGCTAGTGCTTAGTTGTTTAGATTGTAATGCAGTTCTGCGTTGGCTACACAGGAAGAGTCAAGTGAGTGGCATTCACTCTTTTGTGCAAAAGATGGCCTGCAGCAATTGACAGCTGTCATATATTTGACAGATTTATTTAAATTATAATAGATAAACAGGAGGTTAAGTCTACAGAATGAGTACACACAGTATACAAGCAATAAAAAAATAAAGTTCATAGAAAGTATACTGCAATGATAAAGTGAAAAGAAATGTCTCACAGAGCCTTGAGAGCATTCTCAGAGCATTCTTAGTGGCTGCTCCCAAATTTGGAACTCCTTCCCTAGGCAAGTGAAAACTGTTCTGCTGGAACAGACTTTTAAGAACTGGCTGCAAGGGATTTCAGTAGTGTACTGTTCTGCTGATTTTGACCTTTTGTCTTTAAAAGGAGTTTCTTTTAAATGGTTTTAATTCTGTCAGTAAAACACTTGTTCCTCCACATTCACTGGGGCTAGGGGCACAGGACCCTCGTGAATGTGGAAAAACTGCTAATGACAAGAACACTGTTTTTACCTGAGAGAACACCTCTCTGGGAATCTTTAGGTCCTCCAGGGCAACTCTTGTCATCCACATCTGCCAGACATTGACCATAGAATTGTGCTGGAGGAGCTACAGATGCAGCGTGGAGTGTTCTCTCTAGGAATCTCTAGGACCTTCAATGCAACAGAGTTGGTGCTGGAGGACCTAGATATTCCTAGAGAGAACATACTAAGAAAAGCCACAAATAATCAAATCTGCAAAAGTCAAAGCCACAAATGTGGTGGGATGAGTGTAGTTGCATTTTACCATTTTAGATGCATTTTAATTGCATTTAGTTGCATTTCATTATGTTTTCAGTTTTTATCTTTGTA